TCGTCGCTTGCTCATTGACTTTGACGTTCAGGACGTTACGAGCTGCTTCCTCACGGCTACGTGCAGCGAGTGTTCCCTCGGGATGAAAAGCTTTCGTCATCCGCCGAGGTTGAGGGACAGGAGGAGGAGGAGGAGGAGGAGGAGGAGGAGGAGGAGGAGGAGGAGGAGGAGGAGGAGGAGGAGGAGGAGGAGGGTGACGTAGCATCAGGAGTGGGCGGAGGAGATGATGAAGAAGTTGCTGGCTGTTGATGTCATTACAGCAAGCGATCGTTTCGACGTGAGTTGCTCCTGCATCTCGTCTTGCGTTTCACTTTCTCTCTCTTCCTTCTTCCTGCAGGACCTCGAGACGTGGGAGGCGCTGGTGCGGGAGGAAGCGAGCGAAGGGTTTCATCGCAGAGCTCTCGCCATGTTGCAGCAGGCAGGAAGGGGAGCGGAGTCGCTGCTGGTGCGACCAGCGAGCGAGACTCTGCTGCGTCTTGCGGTGGAGGCGTTTCAAGCGCTGCTGCTGGGGCGCGAGGGAGCGAAGCCGGTAATGAGGAGGAGAACGTGGCAGGCGTGCAAGAACGGAGGAATCGCGGCAGAGAAGGCGTGGAGGAAGAGAATGCCGGGAGTGTCAGCGAGGCTTGTTGGAAGGTGAGAAGAGGAGGAGCAGGGGAGATACTGACGAGACAAGTTTCTTCTCCTGTTACGAGGAGCTCGGGAAGGAGGAGGATGCAAGCTACGCACCCTCCATGCAGTATATCCAGAAGCTGCGGAAGGAGCTCGGGGAGGAGGAGAGGTGAGAAGAGAAGGAGGCGAGGGATGGTGACGATCGCAGCAGTGCCATAGAGGAAAGAAGAATCCTTCAGCTCTGCCGGCGTCTGCACGGAAGAGACGAGGAGGAGAAGTGCGTTGCGAGGATGCGGGAAAAGAGGGAGCTGTAAAGAGCGAAGGAGTGTACAGGAGGAGGGCACGATAGAAGTTGCTCGGCATGGGACGAGGAAGGGAAAGGGTCTCAGTGCTGCGTTGAGATTCGAAGCTTGGAGATGTTTTCATCGCCTAGACATGCTTCAACAGGCCAGACGCGCGTGAGAGCTTGTCTCACATGCCTTAGTCTCGCCTGCTCATCCAGGCGGCCACGTCAACGGCCGTCCAGCCAGCACGTGCATGTGCAAGTGAAAAACTTCCTGGCCGGCCCCTCGCCCGTCGTTGACCACCAGCCGGTAGTCGCCCAGTCCCTCCTCCGACGCCACCTGGGCCCGCCGAGTCACACAATGTGTCGAGGCTCATGACCAACACAAGCAGATGCGTCAGGCTCATGACCAACAGCCTCACCTTGGCGACGACCGCGAGCATGTGGCCGAGGATGCCTTCGTGCTCGGCTGTGGCGAACCTGAGCTGGGAGAGCGTCTGACACGCGAGGTCACGCCCCTCCTCTCCTCGCCAATGCTCTCACCTCCCGCCTCTTGGGAATCACGAGGAGATGGGTGGGAGCTTGCGGGTTGATATCTTTGAAGACCAACACTTTGTCATCTTCAAACACAACCTGAGACAGCAGACGAGACTGAGACAAGTGAACTATCGAGGCTGAAACATACCTGAGAAGGAATGCTCTTAGCTACAATCTTGTCAAAGATCGTTTGTTCAGCTTCGTCACTGTTCGAATGAATCAAAACTTTCACGTGAAGTTTCCTGACACTTCCATTCACCGTTTTCCGGCGTGCAAGATTCCAGCCCATCGATTGTTCTACGAGCATGTTCATACGAGACGAGCATGCATGTTCAGCTCACCTCGTCCCACTTCGACAGAGCATCGCTGATCTCCTGCTGCACTTTGGCGAAGGATGGCTGGCTCAACATCCGCTTGTACCAGCTGGGGGCCGGTCAAACCGAGCTCCTCCCCTCCCTCCTCACCTGACGAGCTTCGGACCCGCCAGTTTGTCAAGCTCTTCTGTCGGCAGCTGGGTTTCAGCTGGAGAGAACTTGGGCATCATGTGCATCACGAACACCATGGTGGGAAACACGGCCGCGTCTGCAAGAGAGATCTCCTTTCCGGTAATGTAGGGGCCCTCGTCGTCCACGTAGCCGTTGATGGTCTGAAGCTGCCTTGCGAGCTCCTGCAGCGCGTCTCTCCTGCTGCTAAATTGGCCAAAAGGAGGAGCCGCGCGGTACATGGCGCTCTGAATGGTGGTGATGTACATGTCGTGAAAGCGACAGATAAGATCGCTCTTCACACGTGCGGCAGAAGCCGACGGGACGAAGGATGGCTTCTGCGCAGAGAACTTGTCTAGCAGCCACCTGCTGATCGTGTCGCTCTCTGGGATCGCGCCATCCTCGCACACGAGAAGGGGCATCTTCCCTTGCGGGCTGAGCTCCAGGTACTCTTTGGACTTGAGACCCCCGAGGTCCATGGGGCTCTTGATGATGACGTCGCTCTCCGGGGACAGGCCCTTCTCGTAGATGATGAGCCGACACCTCGCACCTGCCTCAGCTCAGCTCGCAAGCGAGTCCATGGCTGTCAAACCGTTGTTGGAGACCGGCATGTCGTAGAGCGTCGGCACGGACATTTTACAGCCTGTGACAGAGGAGAGCGAGTCCCTTGGGTTTGTCTGTCTTGTGAATCTGGTGCGGAGAGACGCTATGGGGTTGAAGGACGAGATGGGGAACTTGGGCGTGAACTGAAATGCCGCTGGATAAACAAAGGCTGTCAGGGGTGATGACAAGCGAAATCGGTGAGGAGGGAAGGAGAGGTATAAGAAGTGGTATCAGGGCTTGAGGAGAAGCGCGAGAAGAGCAACTATGCTGAGACCTGCGACATCAACGGATGCCATGAGCGACACCATGGCCATCATCCTCATCGCCATCCTTCTCTTGAGCCTCGCAGGCGTCCCTCCGCCATGGCGCGTGAACATTTCGAGGATCCTCGGGGTACAGGAGAATTCTTTTTTTGTTTGTTTGTTTTTTCTTTTTTCTCTTTTTTAATCCGTTTTTTATTTTACAGGCGGGGCGACGGGATCATGAAAATTTCACATCTGATCAGAGGAGAGAAGAAGAGGAGAAGAGAAGAAGAGGAGAGGAGAAGAAGAGGAGAGGAGAAGAGAAGATCAAGGGCCGAGGAAGCAAGTGATAAGAGGATAGTCGAAGAATCGGGCAAAGCAGTTCAAACAGAAAGAAGCTAAGAGAGTTGTAGCAATTGTAGCAAGTGAGATAATTTACAAGACGATGACGCAGAATGCTGGCGCTGGGGTTGGAAGGAAGCGCAAACAAGCTGGGGGTCGGAGTTGTGAGAGAGGATGGGACGATACTGTCCAACGTTCGTCACACGTTCGTCACCCCTCCTGGTGAGACTTACGGCAGAAACAGGGTCAGAGCTAATGCCCTCGCAGGAACTGGTTTCCTACCCAAAGAAACGGCTGAGCATCATAGGAAGTATGTCGTGCAACTAGTGCAGCAAGCAATCAGAGAAGCTTCGATCAAGCCGGTAGGATGGAAGGAGGGAGGTCTCCGAGGCTGAATCTCGTGCAGGACGAGCTCGACTGCATATGCTACACCAAGGGGCCTGGCATGGGGGGACCTCTTCGAGTATGCGCTGTCGTAGCGAGGATGCTTGCACAGGTTGTTGAGGAAGAGAGAAGCAAGCGACAAGAGAAAAGCTTGTTGTGTCAACATGTCAGGGCTGATGGAGATGTAGATGTGGAAGAAGCCTCTCGTGGGTGTCAACCACTGCGTAGCTCACATCGAGATGGGGAGGGTCGTGACGGGCGCGAGCGATCCTGTCGTGCTCTACGTGAGCGGGGGAAACACGCAGGTGATCTCCTACTCTCAAGATCGCTACAGAATCTTCGGAGAAACCATCGACATCGCTGTCGGCAACTGCCTGGGTGCTGCTGTGCTGCCTGCCTGCCCCGTAGCGCTGAGTCTCTTCAGATCGATTCGCTCGCATCGTCATGTTGTCCAACGACCCGTCGCCAGGCTTCAACATCGAGCAAGCCGCTAAGAAGGGATCGCAATTCGTGGAGCTGCCGTACGTGGTGAAGGGAATGGATGTCTCCTTCGCAGGCATCCTGAGCAACATCGAGGACATTGCCAAGGAGAAGCTGGAGAAGGAGGAGTGTACAGTAGAGGACCTCTGCTTCTCTCTGCAGGTCTTGTTGCTCTCCTCCCTCGTGCCTGTTCAGTGTGCCACAGGAAACGGTCTTCGCCATGCTCGTCGAGACTACAGAGCGAGCGATGGCGCACTGCGGGAACACAGAGGTAAGAAAAGGAGGGTTTGCTGGGGTGAGAGACTCGTCAGGTGCTGGCGGTGGGAGGAGTCGGATGCAACAAACGGCTACACGAGGTTCCCTCCTGCTCGCTGGGTCTTCGCTGACCGAATGGTTGAAGATGCTGTCGATCATGGCGGAGGAGCGAGGAGGCCGAGCCTTTACGACGGATGATCGCTACTGTATCGACAACGGAGCCATGATCGCCTACACGGGTTCGAGCCCAACACTTGCAACTTCTTCCGCTCACACCCTGTCAGGCCTCCTCATGTTCCGTAACGGTCACGTTACTCCTTTGTCGGAAGCTACCTGCACTCAGGTATGTCCGTATGTGACCCGCGCATTTCTCCTCTCTGCTCCCCTGCTCCTCTTCTCTCCAACCTCTCAGCAGCATCTTCTCCTCCCTCCACCAACCACTCCTGCAGCGATTCCGAACAGACGAAGTTCTCGTCAACTGGCGAGGGAGCGAGCCTAAAGAGCCGGTGGATGCTGCTACCAGCTCCTGCTGTCTGACTTGTCTCAGGCGCCCAAGCAAGCGGTGTGGGCTCCTCAGCTTCCTGAAAGTTGACACCGACGCAGGGATCAGCAGAACTCGAGCATGTTAATAAGAATCTTTCGCTTTAAAGTTTCCTCGTTGAGCGTGTCGTCGCCAAACTCCACACGGCACACTTTGTCGCGAGACTTGTGCCCCGCGATAATCTGAACATCCTTGCGCTTCAACCCGCAGAGCTCAGCCACGAACTCGACCACTGCCTCATTGGCCTGCGCAGCTGGTGAGAAGCCGCTCGAGAACACAAGCCCAACCTCTCCATCTCTCGGAGGAGCAGCGATCTGCACGTCGATGCTTCGAGCTCCTCCCTCCTTGAGCTCCTCTGAGTTCATCACCTGCGTCTTCTTCGCTCCAGGCTTCACAAACAAGCTCACCCTTGCCGCCTTCTCCCCTGCTATGGCGCTGAGAAACCGAGAAGGATCTCTGTCTTCATGTGAGCGCTTCTGCGGCATGCCCACGGCAAAGAGGAGAAGCTGAGCGAGCAGCAGGCTGAGAAGCCGCGTGATTAGAGGAGCTGGAGCTGGAGCTGGAGCTGGAGCTGGAGCTGGAGCTGGAGCTGGAGCTGGAGCTGGAGCTGGAGCTGGAGCAGGAGCAGGAGCAGGAGCAGGAGCAGGAGCAGGAGCAGGAGCGCCTACTGGACCTGTACTGGACGCTATGCAGGCAGCTATGCAGGACGCTACGGGGAAGAGCGGGGAGGAGGGCATCGGGAAAAGGAGCCAGAGAAATTGAGTGGTCGTGGTTTTAATAAGAAATGAGGAGAGGGGGAGAGAGAGCAGAGCAGAGCAGAGTAGAGTAGAGTAGAGCAGAAGGGAGGAGAAGAGACGAGCAGGAGGTGTGGACATATGTTGAGGGGTGGAGAAGGAAGGCGAGGAGGTGGGAATGGAAAGTGAGGGAAGACAAGAGCTGAGGGGACAAGAAATGGAAGAGAAGATATCGGCGAGAGAGGAAATAAGAGAAGAGAGCATGTCAGACAGGTGGATACCAGGATGTGCTCTGATAGATCTTGTAGGATGTTGGATATTCTCAGGATGTTATTCGCTCTCGCCCTCATCGTCATCCCGGGGATATTCGTCAATGCGCTTCAAGTGCTTACCTTGCTTGTCCGACCATTTTCCCTTCCACTTTTTCGCAAGCTCAACAGGGAGCTTGTCAACCTGCACTGGCCTCTGCTGGTCTGGCTGATCGAGGGCTGGGCGGGGGTGAAGCTCAAGCTGTACGGGGACAAACTGCCGCACAACGAGACCATGATCGGCATCCTGAACCATCGCAGCGATGTCGACTGGATGATTGGCTTCGCGTTGTGCGGGCGAAAATGCGTCTTGGGGGCGTTGAAAGTGATTGTGAAGACAGCGTGAGGTGCTGGAGGTAGAGGTGAAGAAGCCTGACGGCATGCAGGCACCTCATGATCCCTGTGTTCGGCCTCATGGAGTACTTCGTCGAGTTCATCTTCGTCAAGAGAAACTGGCAGGTCGTTGACTTTGATGCTCTATCGGGAGAGAATGAGATGTTGCGGTAGGAGGACAAGGCAGCGTTGGAGAAGGGCCTGCTCTCCTTGCAGACGTTTCCGAAACCCTTCTGGTTCATTATCTTCCCTGAAGGAACTCGTTACAGCCAGTGAGTCTCCTCCCCTTCGCCTCCTCCCCTTGAAGTCGCTGGATCGCAGAAAGAGAAAGGAGGCGAATCAGGTGTGGGCGAGAGAAAACGGCAAGACGCCGCTAGAGCACGTGCTGTGGCCGAGAGCCAAGGCATTCGTGATGGCGACGCAAACGCTCAAGGGGACGGTAGACGCGATCTACGATGCCACGATGATCTTTGAGAAGGAGGTTGGGGAGGAGCAGAGGCTTCTACGAGGTCTTGAGCAACTGCAGGTCACGTTCTTCGACCTGCTCAAGGGACGAGGCAACACGGTCGTTCACTTCTACGTAAAGAGGTGAAGTAGATGTGCAGCCCAGGGCGCGAGTGATCGCAGCCGGCAGGTATGACATGGCGCAAGTTGCAAACAAGACAGACGGGGTTTGAGCTGTGTGCTTGCTTGGGAGCGTCTTGACAGATAGCAGGAGCTGGAGGCTTGGCTGGATGAGAGGTGGATGGAGAAAGAGAAACTCTTCCACGTGAGCAAGGCTTCACTTTGACTTCACTAATTGCCTCCAGGTGTTCAGCCAAAACTCGTCGTTTCTTGTCCCAGAGCTCAAGGACGAGCTGCCGATGAAGTCGCACTACTTTGTCGGTGAGATTCTCGACCTGCTGTTGTAGCGTGACTCACTCGCTCTCAGTCGCGTGGGTCATGGTCACCTTGAGCTTCATCACCATCACCTTGCGGTCTCTTCCTCCCATCTCTTGGGTCTGCTGCTCTTCTCCTCCTCTCCTCCCTCACTCGCTGCAGGACGTCATCCAGCATGCTGCTTTCATCGCCGTCGGCTTGAGTGTCGTCGGGATTCTCATGCTCGTCAGTGTCTTGAGACAAACGTCTTCTTCCAAGAAGAAATCAAAATGAATCTCCCACTCATCGCCTGCTGTCTTGCGGCATCACAGGAAGTAGCTGCACGACTAGTCACGACTCCGCAGCAGCATCTCCTCCTCCTCCCGCTCTCTCAGCATAGCGACGGTGCTGCCAGGCAGAATCTGCGCACGGAACTTCAGCGTTCGGAGGCGGCTCACTTCAACGGCTCACCGTCTGAGCGGAGAGATGGCGCATGCCGAGCAAGGAGTCGCGGGGATGACCACCAATCCAAGGAGACAGCTTACCGAAGCTTGAGTCTTGAAACCTCGAGGAGAAGTTGAAGACAGCAAACGCCAACGGCCTGGTACCTCTTCTCCAGCAGAGGCCTTGTGACTCTACTCAATCTCTCAGCTTCTTCCATGCGGCAGTCTTGCTCCAGCAAGTAGATCTCGTCGATGCAACTGGAACAAGGTCAAGAGCGAACATGCCCCTCCATCTCTACTTCTGAAGCTCTTCACTTGCTCGGCTTCTCGCTCCTTCATCCACATACGGCTGGACAACCATCATTGCCCTCTCTCAGTTGAGCTTCTTACCGAGTGCTGGACGAGACGCCAGCGCGTCATCCTGCAGTTGAGCTCTTCGACCTTGGGCTCTCTTCACGTGATCACAACGCTCGGCTTGTCCTCACCTGGTGAACCTCCTCCACCCTGTCGAAGCCGCAAGTGACGTAGACGTAATCTGCCATGCGCACAGCCTGCTCCCGTCAGCCTCGAATCATCGACACGCGCTCTCACTTGAGAGAAGACTCGCTCGTGCTTCATCGGCTCACACTCGCTCCATGCGTTCCTTCGCTCGTCGAAGACCTTGAGGGTCGTCACGACTCTCCTCCCATCCCCCACTTACAACCTCCACTGTTGACAACGGCTTCGCCAAGTCATGCCCTCCAAACACATACACCCGCCCGTTCCAGGAAGCAGCAGCAGCGCCATATTTCTTCTCCCTCAGCGACGGCAACTGCATCCAGCTCTTCATGCGCAGGTCAAGTGCGAGGACGGAATCCAGTGCAGGAGACTGATCGAACTTTCCTGTTCTGCCGCCGATACAGAAATGTCTGTCTATCGTGCTAGCTCCAGCCATCATCGTGCGAGGAGACGGGAGCTCAGGTGCAGAAGACCAGCCTTGCAGCTGCTCGTCCATTACCTCGCACGAGGACAGCACCATGGCTTCTCGGACCGGCGCATCCCCGTAACCCCCAGGCTTCCCCGTGCGGCTGCCTTGTCCTCCAAACACAAGGACGCGACCTCTCGCTGTCGTCGCTGCATGGAACGCGCGTGAAGCAGACAATGAGGGGATCCAGGTCCATCGAGGGAAGCGGCCATGCCCTGGGGTGGAGGCGCTGTAAACCTCGCAAGACGCGATGTAGTTTGAACCATCGTGACCGCCGATGGCGAGGAGCTCGCAGCCAAGGCAGGCTGAGGCGAGGGCGTCTCGTGGGGAGAGCATGTGCCTTGCGTCTGGCGCCATGTGGGCAGAAGAGGCGCCATCAGGACTGTAGGTCGCCACCTCCCGCCCGCAACCCCCGCCATGCCAACCGCCTAGCGCAGCGACGTACTGCATGTCGATGAAACAAGCCTGCCTCAGAGGACTCAAAGGCTCTTGTGGTGAGACAGAACGTCCTACTAGACTCCAACGGCTGATGTGAGAGACTCCGACGTCACTGCCTCACTGCCTCACTTGCCCTCCCGCTCACCCTCGGGAGTCGCGGAGTCTCAGTGAGGCATGTGATGTGATGTGAGTGATGGTGAGGCGATGTGATTGTTGCAACTAGTGGAACAGAGTCAAGTTGCAGTACACTAGCTGGACTGTACCAGCACGCCTTTTCAAATTCTCACTGGTGCCTCATCCCCTCGCAGACCCTTCCGCCATGTCTGAGGTGATCGTTGTGGTGGACAGCGAGGAGGAGTCAACGGAGGAGGAGAGAGACGGAGAGGAGAGAGGACAAGAGATCCAGCAAGACGCTGAGCTACTAGCTCGACACAAGCAGAGGACGGACCAAGTCAACTCTGAGGTGGGCGAGAGATACGAAGCCGAGAGGGAGAAGCACTGTACATGGCTGCAGACCAAAGGCATCGACAAAAGACAAGAGCCAAGCAGAACAAGTGCGCAAAGCATTCATCCAAGCTGGGTCCCAGCGGCTCCATGCAGTGTAGTGGTTTCACCATCGCGCAGCATCGTTGAGATATCAGACAGTGACGAGGGTGAGGATGGGATGGAGAGGATGGATGAGATCGAGCTGATGCCGAAGCGGAAGGACATCGAGAACATTTACCCCGTCAGCATGAGTGATGTAAATCACCAAGACACAAGAGTTGAAAATGCGAGCGAGTCGCTCAATAGCGAAAATGCGCAGGGCAGGAGAGATGGAAAAGCGCGCAAGGAGATGAGCAGCGAAGCACAGAAGAGGAAACAAGAAAAGATGGAAGCGAAAGAGGAGGCAAAACTAGCGAAGGAGGAGGCGAAGAGAAGGAAGCTGCAGGAGAAAGAGAACCTGGCTCTATCAAGCGGGAGGAAGGCGATGGAACATGTTCGGGTATTGATGGACGATAGGTTCGTTGGTTACATGCGGGACAACGAGTTGCAGGGCATGGTAACCAGGATGCGATCAGAGCTGCCAGACAAGATCACTGTCGTGCTCGATCTTCGCCTCCTCTCGCCTCACACTGATGCAGGTCGAGCGGCTGGAAAGCTCCAACCTCATATGTGTAAAGCGCACAGTATTCCGACACCGAGGAAGCGAACTGGAGGAGGTGGAGGAAGTGGCGCCACAGGTGCTTCTGCTCGTCTGCTCGCTCGTCTGACACCTGTGGGGTCAGCGGCTGCTCGTCTATCCCGCGCGACAGCTCGTGCAGGAGGTCCAGTCAGATTATCTCGTGCACAACGTAGCGCAGCTGAAAGAGAAGGCGCGTCCATCAAGGTCCTGGAGCTGCGGTGAGAGTCCTGGTGCTGACGTGGCTCGCAGTCAAATCATCTTGTTCATCATCGGACTCGAGACATTCTTGAGGAGCGTCAAGGACAGGAAGAAGCTACGAACCAGCATCGAAGAGAGCTTGACCATGGTTCCCCGAGCTCGCGCGTACGAAACTTGATGCTCTTGACAGCTGATGATCTTTCAACGCGTCGGTCACCGACGAGTGGAGGACGAGGACGAGGAAGAAGAGGCAGGAGGAAGTTCTGCCAGCCTGACGACATGCAGCAGGGATGGAAAGTGCTCAAGAGAATAATCGAGGCGATCGCAGAGGATCCCTACAAGCAGCCAGTGCCACTGCTGGACAGGTCAGAACCCTCATGAGTAGTGATGGAAGGAGCTCTTCTTGCATGAAGAGAGGGAGAGATGGAGGAGGAGTACGGAGGGAGGAGAAGGCAAGCTGCGTCGGATGAGGTTCATGCAGGTTCAAGGATCAGCATTCCTATGTTGGAAACTCGTCCGAGGTCACGCCCATGCAGGCGAGGAGCTTCTGCGCTAGAGGCTTGAGGGATGAAGAAAATTCAGGCGTTTCTGCGGGCGATTCCGGGGGTCGGGGAGAAACCAGCGGCCGCCATTGCAAGCGAACATGCAAGCCTGCGGTCGTTGGCACAGATGTGAGTTGCTGGAGGGATGGGACAGACGAGGACAGAGAGGAGCAACTGAGGGCTTGTACAGCTATGAGGACCCGACCATGAGCTTAGAGAGGAAGAGGAACCTGCTGCGAGACATGTACAACACTGCCTTCTGCTTCCTTTCTGACGTCTCACAGGCCCTTCCGATGCTCGAGCACCTCTGCGAGGGAGGAAAGGAGGGTTGGGATCCGAACGAGCGAGAAGATTTTCCAGGCATCCTCATGCTTTACAAGCTGCTCGTCTTACCTTCGCTTTGCAGATCTTCACATGCACGGAAGGAAGTGCGATCTTCGATGGGTGAGGGGGCGATCGCACATCAACGCAGGTCTACGAGAAAAAGAACCTCGAAAAACCTCAGCTTCTTGCAGTTCCCTCGACTACGCAACAACAAAAGTTCGTCTGACGGCCTCTTAAGTTCCAAATTGTGCGAATCGAGGATGGGGAATCCAAAGAAAGAGGGCGGGACAAAACCACAGAGGAGGAGAAGGAGATGGGTTCGGAACAGGGGAGGGTGAAGAGAGGCTTCACTGTCAGCAGTCTAGAGCTTAGGAGTAAAGTCCTTGCCAACAGGCTCGGCGAGAGCTTCTGCGATAAGAACAGCGTTCAAAGCAGCGCCACGCAGGAGCTGTAGAGAGAGAGTCAGGACAGCAACCAACAACATGCAGTGATGGCACCTGATCTCCGCACACAAAAAACTCAAGACCGTGATCTCCGAAGACAATGTTCTGCCTGATGCGTCCAACCTACTCCCACGTCACGCTTGGCAGCAATCATGACGCTCGTCACCTCCACAGGATATTTCTTGGAAGCGGTCAAAGGCATTGGGTACTTCTTGTTTGCAGGCTCGTCGGCGAGGGCGATGCCTGTACGCTCAGTCACCCTCCTGCTCGTCGCCTCCTTGCCTTCCCCTCGTTCTCCTCCCTCCTCGTCATTACCGGGAGATTTCGCCAGAAGATCTCTTGCTTCATCCACCTACATTACGTTATTAACACAAGCGGAAACACTCGAAGCAGATCGGTAGAGGCACGATTGCCTCAGGTCAAAGTGAAGAAGTATCGCAACATGATGTTTCAGCAGCATGAATCTCATCCTTGGCACACAACAATGCAGTAATTGATGCTTCAAGCGCCTCTCTAACCTTGATGGGCTTCTCAGTCTCAACCACAATCGACTCCGCATGGGCTCTGAAGGTCGGGATTCTTACAGCAGTGCCTGTCACCAACATCATCCTTGCACACGCACTTCCTTCACTCACAAGACACAGGAAGGGAAGGAATGTCCATGATCTTGCGGCACTCCCAAGTCACCTGATCGTATGAGTCACGTGATTCTGTGTGCGTTGAAAAGAGCCAGCAGACCTTCATCTCCTCCTTGGTGTAGAGGTTGTCCTGGAAGACGTCGATATGTGGGATAAGATTGAATGGCAGCGGATGGGCGAAGATCTTGTTCTTCGCGATCGTTCCTTCGGCACTGTTTACAACCTACACAACAATGAGACCTGCAGCAAAAGATACGAGCTCTTCTTCACCTCCTTCGCTCCGTCCCTCAGCTCGTCCATTCCTTCCTGTCCGGCACCAGAGGCTGCTTGATAGGTGGACATGATGACCTTCTTGAGGCCGAACCTGCGCATGTTGAATAGAGACTCGGTCAAGCTGTCGAGACCTCTTGTGAAGAGGAAACAGCGCCATGATGCCGATGGCGGTCGTGCAGTTCGGGTTTGCAATAACCTGATATGCGTGGTGAGTACGGACATCGACCCTTCTCGCTCTGAGGCACCTTGTTAGGATTCTTGCGAGCAGCGTCAGCATTGATCTCTGGGACGCAAAGAGCAACATCCTTATCATAACGGAACGCCGACGAGTTGTCAATGACAACAGCCCCGTCATCGCTGCAGTGATTTGTTAGAAAAACATAAACCTTATTGAGCGGCCATCACACCCTTCAGCAATAGCCTTGGCGTACTCCTTGGAGAAATCTCCCGAGACTGAGATGAAGACCACGTCCATCTCCCTCGCCTTCTGCACGGAGAACGCCTCGATCTCAACCTTGCCCCACTTGGTCTCCACAACTTTGCCAGACGATCGCTCGGACCCGAAAAGATGAAGCTCTTTCACAGGAAATCCTATGGTGAAATGAGCTCATGCGGAAAACACAAGGAGTCGAAGACAAGAAGAGGAATCCAGATCCTGCAAGAAGCACCTCGTGTCTCAAGAACTCCAACAATCTCCTTTCCGACAGCTCCAGTCGCACCTGAAGCATCAAGCATCAATCTTGAAGCAGAGACATCCAAAGTGAGCAGGAACAGCTCGTCTCACCGCAAATTCCAACCTTGAGAGGAGTGTTTGCTGGAAGGGCCGCCATTCTCAGGGCAGATGAGAAGGTTGAGGCTTGGCGGATCGAAGGAACTAAACGGGATTGGGAACGGCCGTTGTACGAGTTCACGACATGGCGACGGACAGGGAGCCTGGCGGAGGAGGAGAGGGGAGTGAAGGAGGCAGAAGAGGTCCGTTGAAGGAGGACGGACGGGGAGCTGAAGGCGGCGGCCTGAGCGACGAGCACAAGCAGAACCAGCAGGCGCTGCATGACGACCTGAGGGTTGCAAGGCATGGGTGGTACAGTTGCTAAACGGGGGGGGGTCGTACCATGAGTGGGGTGGGTACAGATTGTGAGTACCGGGTAGAAGATGCGGAGATTTACGAAAAAAGCGTGGGTAGAAAGAAAATTGGTTGGTCCAAAAGAGGAAAAGACGGGTGGGGTGGTACTGTAGCAGGGTAGGGGTAGTAGCATTAGGGGAATATGAACAGAGTCAAGCAGGGGAGTTGAGACAGGGTGGTGTAGTCCAGGATGCCAGGGGGTGGGGTGATTGAGGAACTTTGTGGGGGTAGGACGAAGGATGAAGGTGGGGTCCGGACAGAATAGTAAGTTTGAGCTATTTTCATTCCTGAGGGGGTGGGGTCATGGGTGTGGGTTCAAACGGCAAAGAAATCCGCTGGGGGGTGGGGTAGGGTGAGATGGAGGGGGTGGAAGTAGGGAATCGGGATATTCGATCTCACATGGGTGGGGGTGATGTTAAGCTACAATTTCGGGTTTTGGTGGGGGTGGGGGTGGTGTGGGGTTTCCTCGTGCAGGAGTACGAGGGGGATGATTTGGTCCGGCCCGGAGGCCCGGAGCAGACGACAGGTTAACTAAATTAGCTCAATATCCTCCGAAATAAAAGCCTTCAGCTAAACAAATTTTCACATCCATAATTGAGGGGGGTGGGGTGGGTGGTTGAGAAAGCGAGAAGGCAAAATGCGTTTGGTCTAGGTCGCTTCACAAGAGGAGAATGATAGGAGATGACGACCATCATCATCATCATCATCATCATCATCATCATCATCATCATCATCATGAAGTTGGAAATGAAGATAATCATGAAATATATTATGATGATTATGATTATGGAGAAGATTATGATGATGGGAATGGAGATAATGGATGAGTGGAAAGATATAGATGATAGAGGTGATGTAGAAAGATAAGATAATCAATGTGGATATTGTCATGAAGATTGTCTGCAGCGACGCCAGCATGAGAGAAAGCTCCTGTGGAAGCCCCTAGAATACCTCGGAAGCAAGTGGTGGGAAGGCAGAAGCAGGGCAGCATTCTATGAGGGAATAAGCTATTCCAGGCTTTTCGGTTGTTGAGATGTGTTGGCCGAAGCCGATCACGAGGTAGCTTTGATGAGGAACCAAAAGGAGATGGGGATGGAAAGCTGCTCAGCACAAGAGGAAGAGTAATCGAATGACTCATGTGAACTAAGTAGATCTGAGGGTTTTGGGTGGCTGACGCTTGTTGAAGGTTCACACGTGCAATCATGGTCACGCTGAGCATCAAGTTGTCCTCGAGCTCGTTTGATGAGATACTGGGCAAGAGACTTCGAGGGAACGAGGACGTGGAAATGTCCGACGGTCTTGAACAGGTCTGCGATGATTCCGGTGCTGCTGTCATGGAAGTGGAAAATTTTGAGTCGAACCTGAAGCGACATTGCGCACGTTTTGAAATGATCATTCCCAAACGCACACAAATATCCTTGGCGATGCCGGGGCTAGATCGTTTCGACTTGCACGCGAACGTTCACCACTTGCTACAAGATCAAGACCCTTTCTGCAGTCGCCCACTCAACCTGTGCCAACATGATTTCACCACGAACGCGGCAGGTCTGTTTCAACGGCATCTTGAATTAGACACAGATGTAAGAGCCTCCTCTTGTTGCTCCGCCTAACACTGATGTCTGCGTGCATTGCAGAAGCGGTTTCTTGTCTTGAGGTCGAACAGAGTCGATGATGGTTCCGACCACCTGGAGTCGATCCGCTTGTCTTGGGATGCTCCCACAAGCCATCGCCTCTCATCGAAGAGATAGGGAGTGAGAACCACCAGCTTCACGGTCAAAGCGAAGCAGAAGTAGCAGAGGAACCGAGGAGACTAGATGCGGCAGTTTCAGCATCAGAGCCTTGTCGACTTCTCGAGAAGCTCTCCATCACAAACTCCGACGCTCGTCAGCATTTCCGTGCGTCTTCTTTCGACAGTTCTCACGGGTTTCTGGCGCAGCACAAGCAGAAGCCTTCCTCTCGCCCTCCCTCCTGTCTCGCCTGGAGATCTCGGTCCGCCAAGTTCGCCGGGTTGAGCATCGCGGATTCAAGCCGGCATGGAGCCGATGTCAACGACGTTTTCTCTCTTCTTACCATTCGCTCTAGCCGACCCCTCAGTGTTAGTGACGGTCGGTGAGCTCAATAAAGTCAAAACTCACTCGGTCCCTCAACCTCCTCGACTGGTTCTGCCTCTCTCATCATCATGACCAGCGGCACAGCATCCGTCCTATGATGCCGTGACTGATGTAGATCATTCCATGCTGCACCAGCTCCCCCTTCCTCTACCGTTGCCGTCATCGCCGACTGACCTCTAGACCATGTAGTTCACTTGCCGTGCCCCATTGCGACTGACTGAGCGGTCAGCCAGATACCTGGACTCGAGTTAAACTCAGTCCTCAAGCAGATGAAAGCAGACCGTCATCCATAGAGCACACAGCAACAAACGCGGCTCAAACACACGAAACATAAGACCGAAAGTAACCAGTACTGCTGACAAAGCCAATCGAGGATGCCGTTGCAGCTACCTCCGCTATGAAGAAGTACATATTGGCTGATTTGAAGCTTGAGATTCAACCCCGCGTGGCACCAACACCCACTCCGAGATCGGACTGAGTTTAGAGTGCCCTAATCTCTCGCAGCTGAAGAAGAGCCTTAAGCGCCGTCTCAAGACTCAGCTTCTTCACTTTCAGTTGCGGGCGCAAGCACTTCTCGAGCCAGAGGACAGCTCCTCCTCGGACTTTGTCGAGTCGCCCGAGGAGGAGTAGTCATGGCATATGCAGCGCGATGTTTGCGAATCTTCTCAGACGCTGCAACATGGAGGGCGTCGAGGTTGACCTCCCCCACTTGGTCAGGTCGGCAGAGCTACCAATGTAAGGGTGGACCAACGTCACGTCCGCCATCAAGCCCTCGTACTGCTCGGACCCTCGATCGCGGATTCGAGGGATGTGGATATCGCCCTTCATCTTGCGGCCATGAGGATGGGAGGGTACCTGCCGTCGAGAACGAGGATCCCCCACTGTATCGATGACGCTATGAGTACCAGCGGCGTTCGCTGTCGACCGAATCGTACGAGTAAGGTTGTCATGCGCCGTGGGAAGCTTGGAGGATCGGCGTTTGCAGGTCTGGAGATGATGTGCAGCAACGGAGGGATCGAGCTCGCGCTGACATCCATCACATTCCGTCGGACACTGGCAGATCGGCATGCCATGGAGATCAGTACATGGATTTACTGGCAGAAGGTAAAAAGTGCCTCAAGCAAAACAAAGCAGGAACAAGCTAACCTCCAGGCACAGCGAGAAGCTGCAGATAGCAGTCGAGCATCTGAGCATAGCGGTGCGGGAAGGCCTTGAGGGGGTAGTAGCTCGAGACTCGCATCGGAGAGTGGCTCAGGTCTCGCTCAGGAAAATGAGCGAAGATGGTACGGTAGACTGCAAGACCCTATCCTGCGACTTGAGCGAGTGTGTCCTGCGGCTGTGCAAGGTGAGGATATCACGCTGTTGATCGGTCAGCGCAGCGCGAGCATGCACATGGCGAGGGAAGACGCGCATGACAAGAGGAGTCACATTTCGCTGCGCAGGCGGCGGAATGAAGTGCTCATGAGACGAGTCGACGAGAGCGCGCAAACCAGGGATTCTGCCAGTAAATCCGTATTCCGCTTGAGGCACTTTTTACCTTCTGCCAGTAAATCCGTATCCACCCGTGACGGCGGCGATCGGACGCCGCATCAATGCCCAAGCAGTGGTCAGTCGGCTGCCTCCGGGTATCGCGTCTAAGGGATTTTCTTCCTCCTGCATGCTCCTGCTGCTTGTTGCTTGATTGCTTGACCCTTAGGCTGCTTGTCTGCGCGGCTTCGCGCTTGGGCTGGCGATGCCGCGTCTGGGTGCCAGCAGTGCTGGTTGTTTTCGGGCTTGTGTTTTGTGTGTGATTGTGCAGCTTCTCGCTGTGGACTGTGTGCCTGCCGGTTCAGCTTGTTCCTGCTTTGTTTTGCTTGAGGCACTTTTTACCTTCTGCCAGTAAATCCTAGTCCTCCTCGCTTGATGGCGGACGTGACGTTGGTCCACCCTTACATTGGTAGCTCTGCCGACCTGACCAAGTGGGGGGAGGTCAACCTCGACGCCCTCCATGTTGCAGCGTCTGAGAAGATTCGCAAACATCGCGCTGCATATGCCATGACTACTCCTCCTCGAGCGTTCATCCCTCTTGCCATCTCGACGGACGGTACCCTGCATCCTGACACCCTCCGCTTCATCTGGTATCTCGCGGACATCATTGCTCAGCGCTCGATGCCTCTTGAGGATGCGGCGTTTGGTCGGCACTTTGTGCCTGATGACGGACCTGCTGCTGAGGTCTTGGCTCGCAAACGCGCCGCCACCTATCAGCGCCTCACCATGCAGCTGACGCTGGAAGCGCTCTTGTCTGGTGCCAGGCGCATGACGCCCTTGCGGGCGCAAGCACTTCTCGAGCCAGAGGACAGCTCCTCCTCGGACTTTGTCGAGTCGCCCGAGGAGTCTTCGCCGGAGGTCTCCGACTCCGATGGGGGACACCCTTCGAGTGGCGCCGACGATCGGCGCGGAGCTGGCGAGGCGTCTCCGTCCCTCACTGTGACGTCGGGTGCCTCCGGAGAGCTCGACACCACTGGGGTGCTTGCTGCTGGTCCGAGCTCGCCTGCTTCCTCCCCGGCATCGGTCGGGTCACGCCGGTCCTTGGGCATTGCCGCGGCGTCGCCGCCGTCACGGGCGGCTACCACTGACTCGGCTCCTTGTCGGCGGCTGCCCTTTCTCCGTCCGCGGCCGCCCGCTTTGTGGCGGCAGCGGACGTCTCGACTGACAGTGGTCAGTCGGCTGCCTCCGGGTATCGCGTCTAAGGGATTTTCTTCCTCCTGCATGCTCCTGCTGCTTGTTGCTTGATTGCTTGACCCTTAGGCTGCTTGTCTGCGCGGCTTCGCGCTTGGGCTGGCGATGCCGCGTCTGGGTGCCAGCAGTGCTGGTTGTTTTCGGGCTTGTGTTTTGTGTGTGTTTGTGCAGCTTCTCGCTGTGGACTGTGTGCCTGCCGGTTCAGCTTGTTCCTGCTTTGTCTTGCTTGAGGCACTTATCCTATATTAGCTTTTTACTTTCTGCCAGTAAATCCTATACTCGGCTACCGCTGCCACTGTGACTCGGAGGCTAGCGAGGAGGACTACCTCAAGCGGTACCGTGTTCCTGTGTCCAGCCTCCCTCCGTCCGCTGCCCCAGGCGGCAGTGCTGGTTCTTTT